TAGGAGGCAATTGTGATGGCACAAGTAGTTGGGTCCCTGCCATCTGTGCGAGAGACTCAGATTGAGCTCCTGGCTTCTGGCTTTGGCTTGTTCCAGCCCCATCTTGGTGGACATTTGGGGAAGGACTAGTGAATAGAAGATCTCTGTTCATCTGTCTGTCTTCTTTTCAAATCCATAAAATTTTAAAAATTAAAAAGGGAATAGGGCTGACTCTGTAGCACAGCAGGTTAAGCCACCATCTGTAGCCCCGGTATCCCATATGGGTGCCAGTTCGAGTCCCAGCTGCTCCACTTTCAATCCACCTCCATGCTTATTTGCCTGGGAAAGCAGCAGAGGACGGCCTGAGTGCGTGAGTCTCTTCCACTCACATGGGAAACCTGGAAGAAGCTCCTGGCTCCTGGCTTCAGCCTGGAACTGCTTGCTAGGATGCACGTTAGCAGCCCATCGAGAAGGGAACCAGTGGATGTACGTTCTTGATTCTTCAGTCAAAAATCATTTGGTTGTATGAATGTGGATTAATTTCTGTACTTTATTCTATTGGACTATGTGTGGGGTTTTATACTAGTATATTATTTTAATTTCTATAGCTTTGTGGTATGCTTTGTTTGTTTTAGACAATGTTATCAATATATCTGGAGAATCATAAAATTATAAAATTAAAAAATAAATAAAATCCTGATGCCACTGACTTTGCTTGGTTTGTACTACTGTCCTTGAGTACCTGAGACTGGGTCATTATAAAGAACAGAGATTTGTTCCTCATAGCTCTGGGGGCTGGGAAGCCTAAGAGTGAGGGCCTTCTCACTGCATCTAACACAGCCAGGAGGCATTTGCAGGGTGACAGAGCGGAAGGGGGTGGAGTCCATGTCTCAGTAACGTAATCCCACTGTAACTGACCCATTCCCACACAGTGTCCTTAACCTGTCTTTGAGGACAAAGCTCTCGCCATCTGACCACCTCTGAAATGTCCCACCTCTCAACACCGACACGTTCAGGATTAAGCTTTCAACACGTGAACCTTGTCAGGGGACACATTCAAACCACGGCAACCACAATTTTCTCTACAAAAGAAAAGAATGCATTACGTATTGTGTGCAAATACTCTTACATGAATCCTCAAAACAACCTTAGGAGATGCACACTTTTATTATCTCATTTTACAGCTAGGAAACAGGCTAAACACTTTCAGCTACTAGGTAAACTCCCACTCATTGTAGGTGGCTGAGATGGAGTTTAAGTACAGGCTACCCCACTGCAGGGCGAGCTGTTAACCACCTGGCTCTGCAGGATGTGTGTGCTGATCCCACTGCCCATTCTTTCCTTTGCTTCTCTGCTCAACTCCCTGGAATATTTTCTTCTCTATTCCAAGGATCTCCCCAAGCAGAACCTCTTGTAAGGGGCACTTGTAAGGGGCTCTTCCCCAAAGCCCTTGGTTTCCAGTGGTATTACCCTGTCCCCACTTGCTTTTGTCCTAGGGGGCTGAAATTAGGACCCATGCCTTTTCCTGGATAAAGGACAAAAAAGTGGCCCAGGCTGGACTCTGCATCATAAGCAGCAAAGTCAAGGAGGCTGGAAGATTTGGGGAATTCTGTTTGATCCAACCAAGTGGAGCATCAACAAATTCAGCCATCAAGATAATAAATAATTTGATCTCATTTTTTTTTTTTTGACAGGCAGAGTGGACAGTGAGAGAGAGAGACAGAGAGAAAGGTCTTCCTTTTGCCGTTGGTTCACCCTCCAATGGCTGCCACGGCCGGCGCGCTGCGGCCGGCGCACTGCGCTGATCCGATGGCAGGAGCCAGGTGCTTCTCCTGGTCTCCCATGGGGTGCAGGGGCCAAGCACTTGGGCCATCCTCCACTGCACTCCCTGGCCTGGAGAGTCCACTCCACTGCAGAGAGCTGGCCTGGAAGAGGGGCAACCGGGACAGAATCCGGTGCCCTGACAGGGACTAGAACCCGGTGTGCCGGCGCCGCAAGGCGGAGGATTAGCCTAGTGAGCCGTGGCGCCGGCCTCATTTTTAAAAAGAACAATTCCAAGAAGAACAAAACACTAACATTTAAACAAAGCCAGGGTCAGTGTGACTGACTTTTCCCTTTGCCTAGTGCTCCAGTGTGGCTGGACCTGACGCTGGTGGGTGCTCCCCCTGCATTGTAGCCTTCTGTGTCTTGTCTTCAAACACCTGATACATCGCCCAGGTGCTTTGCTGCAAGGCTGTCTCCAGCCTCTGCCCTCCCTTGTGTTGTCCTCTTTTCCTAAAAGACTCTTTCTCCTTCCACCTCACCTCGCTGAGAATTCATCACGCTTCACCACTGTCACTTTCCCCATCTAGTAAATGGTGATAACAAATAGTCCCGAGTCAGAGCCTTGCTGTGAGTGCTACATGAGCTTTAATGGCTCTGCAGATGAGCGCCCAGCGGCTGCAGGCTCCAGCATCCACACCACCTTTATCCCACAAGACGGGCAATGAGTTGACCACAAGCTTGCCACTGGCCGAAGCTCAGGCTGCTGCTGCATGTTGGCTACATGAAACGCACACCTAGGTGCCCATCTACGTAAGTCTCAGTTACAAATTCCTCTTCCTCCACCTGCTTGGCAAATGCAGGTGTTCTCTGGAGTTTGTGCTTAAATCTCTCTTCTAGCTCCTCTGTCTCCGGGCCATGTGTTGATGCTCATAACCTCAAGGGCCCTCTTGTCTGTGACACATGTATAAGGTCTGTGTCTCTAGGCCCAAGCTTCCAAATGTTTCCTAGGTCTTACTGGTGCCCACAACCTGCTATGAATATTACCAAAGCAACCAGAGGGACTGAATGCTAACTGGATGCTCTGTGTCAGCCCAGCACTTCACACAAATTCCTTCATTTCATTTTTTATTTGGAAGGCAAAATGACACATACACAGAGAGAAAGAGGTTTTTCATCTGCTGGTTCATTCCCCAAATGCCTTCAATACCCAGGCCTAGGCCAAGCCAAAGCCAGAAGCCAGGAACTCCATCCAGGTCTCTCATGAAGGTGGCAGGGGCCCAAGTACTTGAGCCATCACTTGCTGCCTCCCAGGGTGCACATCATTGACAGGAAGCTAGATCAGAAGGAGACGTAGGACCAATCCCAGGCATTTTGGTTTGGGATCTGGGCTTCCCACACAGCTGTTTAACCTGCTGCACCACAATGTCTGCCCCCTCAGAAACTCCACTTTGAAAACAAAACAAGATAGAAACCAAGATAAGGGAAGAAATTCACCCAACAAGGGAAGTGTTGGAGCCAGGAACTGAAACCAAGAGGAAGTACTTCTGATAAGTAAGACTATTCCCAAGCTTACCTTGTTCTGCTTGTTTTAAAATTTTATTTATTTATGAGGCAGAGAGAGACAGAGAACTCCCATCCACTCGTTCACTCTCCCTCACCTGCAATAGCGGGGGCTGGGCCAGGCTGAAGCCAGGATCTGGGAACTCAATCTGAGCTTCTCACGAGGGTGATAAGGGACACAAACACTTGATCTGTCAGTGGCTGCCTCCCAGTTAGCTGGAAGCTGGAATTCACTTGCTGCCTCCTTAGTTCATCGAAGCCGGAATTTGGAGTGGGAGCCACACTTGAATGCACGCATCTTAACCACTAGGCCAAAGGCCCAGCCACAAAGGCTCACCTTTTGGTCAACAACGTTAAAGCAATGTTAAGAAATTGCTACACTGATGTTCTCAACTGGGGCTACCTCGCATTGTTGGCAGACATTTTTGGTTACCCCAACTGGAGGGCTGCTACTGGCATCCAGTGGGTAGGGGCCAGGGATATTGCTGAATGCCCTACAAAGTGCAGAGTGCTCTAGAACAAGGAATTCTCTGGCCCAACATTCAACGGTGCTCAGAGTGAGGAACCCTGCATTAGAGAGATCAGCATGAGCGAGTCAGGTGCCACGTTTTCTCCACAGGCCAGCTGTGCAGGTCCCTCGGCCTCTTCCTCCCCTCTACCCTCCACGCTCTAACCCACTGCCCACACTGCCTCCTCTGCACAAAGCACAAACAGGAACTCAGGCCGGTGCCGCGGCTCACTAGGCTAATCCTCCGCCTTGCGGCGCCGGCACACCGGGTTCTAGTCCCGGTCGGGGCGCTGGATTCTGTCCCGGTTGCCCCTCTTCCAGGCCAGCTCTCTGCTGTGGCCAGGGAGTGCAGTGGAGGATGGCCCAGGTCCTTGGGCCCTGCACCCCATGGGAGACCAGGAGAAGCACCTGGCTCCTGCCATCGGATCAGCGTGGTGCGCTGGCTGCAGCGTGCCAGCCGCGGCGGCCATTGGAGGGTGAACCAACAGCAAAAGGAAGACCTTTCTCTCTGTCTCTCTCTCTCTCACTGTCCACTCTGCCTGTCAAAATAAATAAATAAATAAATAAATAAATAAATAAAAGCAAAAAAGAAAAAAAAAAACAGGAACTCAGTATCTTCCTCCTCAACACCTTCTCCTCCTGTTCTCTGTCTCGGTTAAAAATACCACCCTGCAGCTCCTCACAGGTGAAGCACCGTTGTCCCTCCTTGCAGACCCACCCCCACCTCCAGCCACACAAGCTGTGTCTGTTCCATCTCCTCTCTTCTGTGCATCCCCGCCCTCCTACGGCACTAGCCTACGTTGGGCCAAAATAGCTTCTCGCGCTGTCTCTTTTCCAGTCATGAGGCTGAAGTCACTTTTTAATTCATCCATATTTGATCATGCATTTCATGAAGAATTAAAGTAGCCTCTCAGAACCCACCTAACTCCTATCTATCAACTCCAGCAAATTCATGATGGAAACTGACTCTGTTCCCCTTGGCTCTCCCCTCCAGGGCTTGGGTGCCACCACAAGCCACATCTCCCCTCCACCGTCCTTGGGACCTGTTCCATCAATGAGCCCCGCCCTCCCCCGTGACTGCTCCTGCCGTTCGGGGACCTTCCCATCCACCTACAGATGCTTGCCGGCTCCTCCCGGAGAAGACTCCACCCTTCCCTCCCACTTGCTAGACAGCCACATTTCTGAAAAGAGTTGTCTACACTTGCTGTCTCCCACTCATTCCTCAGCCCACTGCAATCTGGCTTCCATTCCCTCCAACTCCATCAGGACAGCTCTGGGAAAAGTTACCAGCCTTCTGATTGCAAAATAGAGTGCATGCTTGCTTACCCATCCTTCCTGGATGGAATTTTCTGGATCGTTTGAGAATGTGGGCTATGCCCTCTTATTAGAAGCCATTTCTTCCTTTAACCCCTGGCTCTCCTTCTACTTCTCTTCCCACTGTCCACTTTCCCTGTGGGCAAATTCAATTGCACCCTGTGCCAATAGCTGTAACCTCCAGAAGAGGTAGTAACAGCCTTGAAGAGCCTGACTCCAAAGCTCCCCTATTCACTAAATATTTGGCCTTGGGCAACTTGCTCAATGCTCTTGTGCCTCAGTTTCCTTCACTGTAAAATGAAGCAAAACTTCTTAGGCTCATTCCTTTCTGTGTCTGCACCATTTCTTTCTTTTTTCTTCTTCCTTAAGATTTATTTATTTATTTGAGGGGTAGAATTACAGACAGAGAGCTGGAGAGACAAAGAGAGAGGTCTTCCATTCGCTGGTTCACTCCCCGAATGGCAGCAATGACTGGAGCAGGGCCAGTTCGAAGCCAGGAGCCAGGACCTTCTTCCAGGTCTCCCACATGGGTACAGGGGCCCAAGCAGTTGGGCCATCTTCCACTGCTTTCCCAGGCCATCAGCAGGGAGTTGAACTGGAAGTGGAGCAATCGGGACACGAAGCAGCATTCATATGGGATGCTGGCGCTGCAGACGGAGGCTTTACTGTGGAATGCAATGTGAAAACTAAGACCTCTCAGAGAACAAACACGCTGGGGAAGCACTAAGGAGGGAGCAGTAATTAACTGGGACCATACCAATGAGACTACAGTTGCCTTGGCTGACAGTCTTAATTACTTACAGTTCTAACTTTCCAGAACCGTTAATAGAGGCATCTGATGTTTCTTCCATTTCATGCAGGGCTCCCGTGGTTTCCCCACCAAAGGAGAAGACACAGAAGCTGAGCGATGGAGTGAATCCCCCTGCCTTGGGTGAGGGCCAAAGCTGCAACCCACGTCTTCTGTGCCACTTCATTCATTCACGATGTCTTTACTGAGGGTCTGCAGTGGGCCAGCAGTGCTGTTGGCCTGGGACACAGGAGTGGAGACCGGCAAGGATCCTGTGGTAACGCAGTTTACGCATGGGACATGGGGGTGGGAGTGGGGTACGTGATGAATAAGCAGCCAAATAAATGGGCTAAGTTAAATAATGGCAAGAGCTGTGAAGTAATAGAACAGCGTAGGTGACATCGGGGAGGGATGCACATTCCAGAGACAAGCATAGCAAATGGCTGGGAAAAGCCCCTCGGAGGAACCGTGAGGTGTGTGCCAACAACAGTCACGAGGAAATTCTTCCAGGCAGAGGGACCGCAGCTGCAAAGGTCCTGGGGCAGAACCCTGGACTCCCAGTGCCCAGCCCAGACCTTGTCCTACTGCTTCTGACCACAGACAGTTGCAGAAGAGAGGCGAATCTGGGTCTGAACCTAACTGTCCCCTGCTTGGAAATGAGGAGCTGGTACCCAACTTTCAGTTCCTGGCTGGTTCATTTGAGCCTTCTGTTTTCAATCACAGTCATGTTGTTCCCTCTTCAAAGTCTGACTGGGTTTCGGAGGAATCTGAAACACTTAGAGCCAAACCACCAAGCCGCATCCCCAGGTAAAGCACCCCCAAAATGTGGCATTTCCGTGGGAAACCACAGTGATTCACTCGCACGGGCCATCCAGTCTGTCTGTGCAGAGGTTGACTGCTTTTCCCCAAGCTTCTGAAACCCAGCGTGATTTTCAAACACCCCCTGCCCCAGCCCCACGTCCTGACTCCCAGGTTCAGGGCAAACGCCCACATTTGCGGGAGTTTCAGATTTCACCAGAAGGGGGTCCGGCCCCAGCTACTAACCTTTTCCTCTGCAGAGAGCAGTTGCCGAAATGCTGCAAAGAAGAATAATCACCCAATCGTTAGGAGGAAACACCGCTGGCTGCCTCTGGCTCTGTAAGTTGGCACAGATAAGCCCGGGGCACACCCCACAAGTTAAAGTCCTCTTTTCTCTCGAGTCGCTGCACGGCAATAGCAAGAATAGCATGGCTAAACACTTGGTTTCCAAATCGAACCTCTGTCTTATTTGAGGACATTGAGGCTCGGAGAAGTGACTCAAGGTTACCACAGGGGGAAGAAAAAAGGTAGAGCCATCTGCATCCCGGATCAGGGACCCCAGCCCTCACGATGCTGTCCACACTACCACTACTTGTGCACCGGGCAACATGAAGAAAACTGCAGGGACAAAGCGAGGCGAAGTCATTTCTTTGATCAAAACTGGGGAGCGAACCGGCTGCGAGGTTGCGCGTGCAAACCTCACAGCACCGGAGTGAGGCTGAGGTCCTCTGGCGCTGTTCCGGCCTTGGACAGGCACCTCCCAAGGCCAAGGTTTTCCGGGGATAAATCCCACCCCTTCCACCGCCCGGCGAGGCGCAGGGAAGCCAGCGGGGGAGAGGGGACCCGGGGGCAGGACGCCCGCCGCCGCAGGGGAGCCGGAGACCCCGCGCGTCCCCAGCCGCTGCGGCCACTGCGCCCCGGTGCCTGCGTGCCGGCGGGCCAAGGGTTAAGTGAGGCGGGAGCCCCCGGCGCGGAGCGGCCCGGGCCGGGAATGCTTAGTCAGGATTCCGATTTCCTGTCGAAGTGTTTGGATTTCCTGAAACCCGCGCCCTCCGCCGCCGAGCGGGATCGTGCGAGCCGCTCGCGCCGCCGCCTCCTCCCCCTTGCACATGGTCGCCCGCCCCTTCCTGCGCCGCGCTCGGCTCCCGCGCCTCGCCTCGCCTCGCCGCCGCCGCGGGCGGCCACTCTGCGCTCGGGCAGCCCGGCCCGCGCCTCCCGCCCCGCCGGCTGTCCGCCGGCCGCAGCCCGGTTCCGACCCGAGAGCCGCGAACGCCCGGCCGAGGGCTGCCGGGGCGCGGGCGTGTGCGCCGCCGCTGGGGAGCCGGCGCCGAGCCCGCGATGGAATAATGCCCAGCCGCCCGCCCGGTCCCGGTGAGTTGCGGGCACCCGGGCGGGCTTGGCGGGGCCGGGCGGGCTGGCCCGCGGTCGCTTGACCCCGCGCTCGGCGGGGCCGGGCCGGGGCGCCGGGTGGGCTGGCGGGTCCTTTCCCGGAGAGGCGTCCCGCTCTGGCGGGGTCGGAGCGGGGAGGAGGGCAGTGTGCTGTGCGCACGGCCGCGCTCTGCAGGGCCGCCGAGGCCGCCCAGGGGCTCCGCGTCCCCGGCTCGGGAGAGGGGGCCTGGGCTGCGCGCGCGGGAGCCCCGGCTCTGCAGAGGCGCCGCGATGGGGGCGGGGGCCGCCCTGGGTGGCTGGGCGCCCCCTTCCTCGAGGGAGGCCGGGGCAGCGCGCCTGGCGCCGGGGACCCCGCCGTGGGGGCGCCCTCCGGCGCGGAGGCGCGGGCGCTTGGCCGCGGCATTGTCTCTCTGGCGTGGTCGGGAAAGTTCCCCGCCCGGACACGGCGCTGCCACGCAGGCCCTAGGCCACTTGCTCCAAACCAGAGAAAGGAAACGAAGGGAAAAGTGAGGGGAAATTTCCCCCGTGGGGCTCGGCGTCTCCTCGCGGGAAGTACAGGGTGGTGTGTTCCGCTTGGATCACTTGGGGGACCTGCTGCTTTTGCTGAAAGCAACAAGAAGTTTAAAAGAAAGAAACTCGCGGGCGTCCGGCGGCTTCTCCCGCACGCCCTAAGCGGTTTCTCCAGTCATGCAGCGGGCCCCGTGGGCCACTGCTGGCCGGCGTTAACTTGACCTCAGCCTTGGCTGTCCCTGTCAGGGGAACCCCGACTCCCTCTCCCTTGGCGCACCCTCCCCCACCAGGTCTGCCCAGCGGGGTTGTCTAGGCACAGTTGATTCTGGGATGACCACAGGACCGGGATTGTAAAACCACGTTTAGGCCGGCTGTATGTCTGTTGGACATACACCTCGCCCCGAGGCGTTCACGCTTGGCGATTTGAGGGCTGCTGGGTGGCAGGCGTTACGTCCAGTCTGGGGACGTCCATGCAACAGTCTGAACCTTGAGAACAACCGTGTCAGCTTCTTGTTGTTCCACAGATGAGGGCCAGGGAGCCGACCTGAGTTGCCTATGGCCACGGTCAATGGCTAGTGGGTGGCAAGGCCAGGACTGGTTTCTGAGTCTTGGAACCGAACCCTGTGCCTGCATCGCATTAAGGTCTGCAGCCATGGGCAGGATTGAACAGAGGTGCGTGCCTTGCCGCCCTCACCTGTGTGGCGCCTTCTGTTCTCTCTTACCTGTCCCTGCTGTTTGTGAGACGTTCCGTTATCTCAAAATTCGTATTTGAGGAGGAGGGTTAAAAAATTGCCCAACGCTTACTGTTCAACCTCCAGATGGACCTGAAATACAAATGGGTGGCTTATTACATGGGAAGTTACCTTTCTCCATCCCATTCTTTTGTGGAAAATTGAAAGCTCTCAAGTCCACAATAAGGGCGGTGTCGTAGCACGTAGCGTACCCTATGATGTTCTCTGGGGTTCATTTCCAGCACTCCTCTTTCTTGTGAGCTAAGCCATCCATCTATTTTTCTTCTCACGAGAGCGCTGATGGCTGGGTTTTTGTTTTTAGTAGGTGATCATGTTGAGAGAAAGGACTTTTTTTTTTTTTTTTTTGCAAGCTTGACATTTGGTGAAAGAAATTGAAATTCACTCCACCTCTCCAGTCCTTACAAGCCGCACTGAGCCAGATTTTCACAATTGCTGTGAGCCTTGCAGACCAAGGATGGATGTGTGCATTCAGATCAAGTCCTGTGTGGAAGAAGGGAACTCGTGTTCGCTGGGGCAGCTGCTCCAGCATCGTCCCTATCGACTCATCCCTCGTGTTTGAGCGGATCCTACCCACCCCATCCCTCCTTGTTTCTGGACCTCACTTCTCTCCTGTCCACTATATCTGGCATGGGCTCAAGAATGAATGAATAATCTCCACACAGGCAATAGTGACAGTAACAGCTGGCATTTGTTGAGTAATTGCTGGATGCCCTAGACTCTTTTTAAGAAATACATATATTTATTTATTTGAAAGGCAGAGAGAGAGAGAGAGAGAGAGATTGATTGAGAGATTGAGAGATTGAGTTTCCATCCGCTGGTTCACTTCTCAGGTAGCTGCAATGGCTGAGGCTGGGCCAGGCAGAATTCAGGGGCCAGGAGCTTCTTCCTGGTTTGCTTTGTGGTTGCAGGTACCCAAGCATTTGGGCCATCTCCCGCTGCTTTCCCAGGCCCGTTAGCGGGGAGCTGGATTGGAAGAGGAGCAGCTGAGACTTGAACTGTCGCCCATGTGGGATGCCAGTGCCACAGGCAGCAGTTTTATCTGCTATAATGTAGCGCTGGCCCTTCCTTGCCCTAGGCTCTTAAAGAAGTCCCTTGGAGGAGAGGAACCCCTTTGAGAGGCGTGTCCAGAAAAGACTGCACTTTTCAGATTTATCTGGAATTGAGTCACTCTTCCTTGTGTCCAGTAAACATTTGCTAAGTGTCTGTCTCCCTGGAGGAGGCACCGGTCAGGCAGAGAGGAAGAGCATGGTGTTTCCAAGGCTTTCTCATTCCAGCGTCATCTTTCAGTGTCAGCCTCACAATTTTAATAATCAATTCAGCAAGCATGTATTGAGCACCTGCTCCCTGGGAAGCCCCCCTTGTGCGTCCTGATGAGACAATGATGAACAACAAGAAGGATCTGGTCTTGCCCTCCGGGAGCTTGCAGTCCGCTGGGGAGATGAGCAGCAACAAGAAGCAGGTGTTGCTTGCTAGCAAGAAAGACAAACCGGGGGCCACGGCAGGGGCTGCAGCTGCAAAGCGGGTCCTAGCTTGGCCAGGGGATGCCCTTTCTGAGATTGGAAAGTGGAGAAGGGAGTGGCCAGTTAGGAAGGATGTGGAGGAGGGATTGCAGGCAGAGGGATTGGAATGTGCAAAGTCATTGATGCACAGAAGAACACATTGATGTGTTCCAGGGAGTGAGGGAAGTTGGGGAGGGGAAGGCAAGGCTGGAGAGAGCTGCAGCGGCCGTGTGGCATGGCCAGTTGTATCCCAGGTCGAACTGATTCTGCCACCTATTACACAGGGAGCAGTGGTGACTTAAGTCGGGGTAGGAGTTCAGTGACATTTTTAAGAGATGGCTTTGACTGCTTTATGAAGAGTAAATTAAAGGGGGAGGGCAAGAGCGGAAGCAGGGAGACTGTCTGGGAGACCATTGCACCAGTGTCGGAAAGGTGACAGCCATCCAACCCAGGGTGGTAGCAGGGGAGGTCGAGAGAAGTGGGCGGATCCTAGCTGGATCTTGCAGTTCTAACATGGGATTCTGTGATGGACCACATGCGGGTGAGGCAGGAGGAAAGATGGCTTCTGGGCTTCTGGCTTGAACAGCTCAGCGCTGCTGGTGATGGACTGGAAGACAAGGCAGACTGTAGGAGGACTAAGTTCACGGAGAAAATCCAGGTGAGCGTGGGCCATGCTAGGGTTTGACTGTCTAGGAGGCATCAAATGGGGATATACAGGCAGGCACTGGGGCACAGGGCTCAGAACCTCGGAGGACATGCAGGGGCTAGAGACGATATTTTTAAGCCGTTAGCTGAGTCCCCACCGGTGCTCACCAGCACACTTCCTGCTGAGTGTCTGTGCACGTTCTCCTACCTGGGATGCTCTTCCTCTCTCCCCACCTGCTGCTGCTCATCGTTTAAGATGCACCTGTGTCTTTATCTGTTCAAACATGCATCTAACTCTCTTCCCTCCTCTCAGGTCCTTGTGTTCACTTTCATCAGTATTCAACCGAAGTTACCTTTTAAAAAAGTCTTACACATTTGTATGCATGGATTTCAGGATTTTATACACCAAAATAAGCATTTTAATTGCATTTTATAAGAACTTTTGGAAGGACCCTAATAAAAAATTGGTGCAGTTCCTACACATAGTAAGCACTCAAAGTGGGCATTACAGAGGTTAGCTGTGACTGTTATCATTGGTTGTAAGGATGGATGTGTAAAGAAATACCACACTGTATAGGACAAAGTATAATGATAAGTGTCATTCATTTCCTATTGGTGCAGTAACAAGTTACCGTAAATGTAGTGACCTAAACAGCACAATTTTATAGCTCTGGAGGTCTGAAATGAGTCTCCCTGACCTAAACTCAAGGTGAGGGCAGGGCTGCCTTCCTTCTGGAAGCTTCTAGGGGATGCCTGCATTCCTTGGCTTGTAGTCTACTTCGTCAGTCTTCAAGACCAGGGCTGTTGGTCTCTGACTTTCCTGTGCTGCCATCGCTCTACTTCTCCCTTCTCCTTTCTGGCTTCTCCTTCATCTTTAAGGACCCTTCGGGAGATGGTATTGGGCTATATAACTTAGGCTACTCTCCCAGTTTTTTAAAAAATATTTATTTATTTGAAATGCAAAGCATTAGAGAGGGAAAGACAGAGGAAGAAAGGGAGAGAGAGAGAGATCTTTCATCTCCTCGTTGACTCCCCAGATGGCTGCA